AGACCCATGCTTCATCTATTGTGACAATTGTTTTTCATTTTTCTTTGGATAAGTGTTTATCATATAGAATTCTGCAGCGTGATAGAATTGGTACTTACGTACTATGATAACTACCTAGATATCTCACCAAAACTGGCAACCCTTGTAGGTTATACAGGTTAAACCACAACATAGGTTATAGAGGGAGCTAAAATAAAAGAGTTTTATCCTGCACTAGTACCACACTTGCTATTAACTTTTTTTTTTTTTTTTTTTTGCTACATTTATGCGGATTATTACACTTAGGTTAAACATGTGAAACTTTTTTTGATTATTTTTTCCAATGGATATCAACATTTTCCAACTTCCTTCAAATGAAGAAGTGATAGAACTTTTCAGAGAGGCTGAAATTTTACCCAAAGAACATGTTTGTAAAAACGGTCATGATATAAAGTTTTATAATTCAGGATTTTATTGGAAATGCAATGTCAAATATTGTCAACAAATATAAATATAAAAGTTTGGTGTTCAAACTGGTACAAGGTTTGAAAACAGTCGTATTGAATGTTTAAAAGCTTTAAGATTTATTTACTTCAGTCGTCCATTAAATAGTGCAAACATCAGTTGGATTTATCCAATAAGAGTGTATTGATTGGAATAACTATATGCATGATGTGTGTGTGAAGGATTTGAAGGATAATGGAAATATTAAAATTGGAGGGCCTGAAATGATTGTCGAAATTGACGAAAGCCTTTTTACGCATCAAAAGAATAATGAAGGTCGTATCTTGCCTCAGCAGTGGGTCTTCGGTGGAATTTGCTGGGAGACAAAACAAACATTTCTAGTCAGAGTTCCAGACTGGAGGGCAACAACATTAATGCATGAAATCCAAAATAATATTGCTGAAGGCTCATCAATAATGTCAAATTCTTGGCCTGGATATCAAACAGAAGAGCTCATCGCTGCCAGTTTTGAACATTTTAAGGTGAATCATCAATACAATTTTGTTGACCCATCTAGGCAGATTCACACTCAACATGTTGAAAGGAACAAGTGACAACGTGAGACAAACTGCCATCATTTGGATACCTATTTAGGTGAATTTATTTGGCGGAAAAAACAGGAAACGCCTTTTGATGATATTTTGAAAGCTATTTCCTGCCACCTTCCTTACCATTAACTTCAACGTTTTCTTTTAACCAGTTTTAAGTAAGTTAATTTTAATATTTTTAATTCATATTTAGAATATAGTTTATATATATACATTTATTTATAATATGTATATATATATATTCAGGATATATATATAAATACAGTCAAAAGTCGTTAATCCGGACTCGTCGGGACTTCGGCGATTCCGGATTATCGATTTTTCCGGATTATAGATCATCAGTTTAAATCAGGAAGATGGCATGCAAAAATTACAAAATTAAAAATATGAAACCGTAATTTATGAAATAAAGAACAATTATGATCTAAAGGGTATCAAAATTTACAAAAAGAAAAAGCTCAATATTTATTTGTTTACTTTATTAAACATTTCCTTCAATGTAAGTTGCTTCGTTTCATGTGATAATACTTTCTCTTTAATTCTATTAAACAGACATAATTTCTTGTTTAGTTACAAAGTTCCGCTGTTCAAGTCCCATAATTGCTGTGTTGAGAATACCGACTAATTTGTCAATCGAAATGTTTTCGTTTTCAATAACCTCTGGGTCACTTTCTTCACTATCGGAAGCGAATTATAATGACGAGGAACTTGATTTAAATCATATCAAAGACAGAATGAAATACTACACTTAGTATGGAATTATAAACCAAATAAAATAAAAACATCTGCCCTGAAGATAAGGATAGTGCTGACAAATCAACTTCCAATCCGCGGGTGAAATTGATAAACAGATTTCGGATCTCAAAACATACTTTCGCTTTGTAGATAGAAAAATTACATATTAGTAAATATATATCGGAAATTCTATTTGACATAATCTTTCTAATCTATCATAATCTAATAATGACGTTTCTGCCCCCCCCTCTGCCGCAGAGCAGCGTGAAATTGATAAACAGATTTCGGATTTCAAAACATACTTTCGCTTTGTAGTAAATATATATCGGAAATTCTATTTGACATAATCGAAAGTTCAAGCTTACTTTTATAAAATTGCTCTAACAGTCTGCAAAAAATAATAAGCCGGATCCAATTCGAAGATTAAGGAACAACGCAATCGGCAACATTAACTGAATTAGATAACTTTAGCTTAGCGTATAACTCCGTTACAATTTAAACGCGCATGCGCACAAACATATTCACAGCCGTAAGGGTCTTACGCGCTCTCGTAAACGCCTATGCGCATGCGTGATCGCGACGCATGCGCAGAAAGTTTGTAGCTTTGAGGTCCGGATTATAGATCATTCCGGATTATGGGTGTCCGAATTAACGACTTTTGACTGTATATATATTCAGGATTTTTGGTTTTTAAGTTTTTGTTTCTTTATAATTAGGGCTTTTATTTTTAAAAGAATTTATAAACATAAACCAAAAAAGGCAATGAATGTTTTAATCGGCAAATGTTGCCAAGGTAGTCGTCATAGTATGCAAGTACCAAAAATAGATCATTGTGCACATTGGCAAAGTCAAGTCAGTGTGCAATGCCAAGTTTGTGCTATTCTCTGATGTTTTTCTAATTGAAAATAGGTCGATGTGTACATGGATACCGAGTATGTGCAATTCTTTGGCTTGTTATTTTGGCTTTGCATAGCGGCAATTTTTGGCACAAAAGTCATTAAGGAATGATTTGAGAAGGAGGCAAAGAAGGTGAAGATTGCATTCACTAAAAACTTTCTGAAACCTAATCTAGGATAAAATGTTAATATAAAAGTACCTGACATTGATAAATTGTAAATGGAGTCAAAATCAGTATAGTCATTATTACAGACATTCAAATGATGACTTTTATGTTCTTAGTACAAAATTTGGTAAATCAAAATCTTTGTACACAAGAAACCAGGTTACCTTTTACAAAGAAAATTTTTTAAACATCGAAAAAGTTCGTACAAGAGAAATAAGTGTACGTGAAGTAGTAAAAAACTTTCCTTCAATGGCGGACAAAGGACAAAAAAATGCAACTGTTCAAAGAAGTGTACTATAAAGATGTGCTTGTGCAAATCAGGTGTACTTTCTAATTCAAAATCCTGTAACAATCAACCTTGTTGTAACACGCAGTATTAGATGTATTAAAGTAAAACATACTATATTTTCCTTATTTTTTACAGTTTTTTCAACCTGACTTTTGCATATGTAAAATTTATCTATAAAAATTATTTTAATTTAATGTTAACATAATTATCTTAATTTAATGTTTAACATAATTATTTTTATTTAATTTTAACATAAAAAAAGTGTAATGCGAGTTTAAAGTTTTTAACTTTTACCTTTTCCTGGAAATCTCCTGGGACAATATGTCCCAACTGTCAACTGGGACTATTTGTTCCACTCGTCTAGGATATTACCCTTTCTCACAAAACAAAACTAAAATTTACAGTCATATAATATGAATATTACGAAACATAAACTCTGTCACATGCTCTAGTTCATAAATACAAACATAATATATCAGCATGTAGTAATTTGTTCACTGGTGGGACATATTAACCCACTGTTAAATATGATTGGGACAATATTTCCCACAAAAAGAATGTATTCAAAATTTCTTAAATCTGACATTAAAAATGTTAAACTACTACTTAATAAGAACAGTAAGAACTATTTCATACTAACTATGCCTTAAATATAATTGTACTTATTGTAAAATTTAAAAAAAAAATAGACAAATTGAAACCTGAGTAATTGGCGTGCTGTAAAACATAAGCGTGCCATCTGCAATCCAAACGTGTCACCAAATTTCTTTAGTCATATATTTGTTCCCTAATTCCTTAAAAACACTGCACACATAAAAACCCATTTAAAAGTGGGTTAAATTTACCCAATACGGTATGAAATCTAATCTCTGGGACATATGGACATAGGACGGAAAAAGGTTAAATTTCATAATTTTTACTCTGAGCTATTAATTTAATTTTTTATCTATTACCAAAATTATTTAAAAAATATTGAAATCTTTTTAGTTATTAAGAGAACTGTGCATTAATTCAGCTTTTTCACGTGGGATCTTATGGGATAAATATTGTATTTTTTCCCCCTTGTAACTGCTTCAAAAATAATTGTAAGACAGTTTCATCGGCATAATCTTAAATCATACCTTATTTTTACCACTTGTACAATTTATATTATCAACTAAAAAGTTAAAGTGTGTTTTAACTTTTTTGGGGGACACACTGTATGCAATATATCTGCGAATGGAAAATCCTATCATAAGTAATTCCCCATTTCGGCCTTTTACCAGAAGGCATTGTTAACTCCTAGGTTTTACTGTAAAGACTTGGTAAAAGTCTGAAATGGAATCATATTAAAGCATACTTTGGACTTTTACCAAGCCACATTGGTAAAAGCAAGGTTTCACCTGCAAAACCTAGGATTTACCAGACTCCGGGCTTTTACAGTAATATATATATGCTTCTTGGACAATTCAAGTGATGCAACAAACACTAAAAACTGCATTATAACATAACTGAGCCATTTTTCATTATAAATTGTAAAAAAGGGTATTATGTTCTAGAAATAAACTCTAAAATAAAATAACATATTAAATATACAAATTAATATATTTATTTTTTAAATATTGATATCAGATAATTATTTCAATAACGCAAGTTTATAAAATCGGAAAAATTTTATTTCTGTTACCCATACAGCTGGATGAGCATTAAAAACTATTCGGATTAAATCCTGTTTGTTCTGAGGGAATAACAAAAATATTTTTGAGCTATTAAACGTAAAAACATATTTGCTATCAGTCAAAACAATCTTCAAATATAATTATACTAAAATAATTTAATATCTATTTTCCACACTATGTTATTTAAAAGCTTTATAAAAGTACTTGCAAAATTTATAATTTACCTCTTCTTGCAGGTGACCTGGATCGACTTCTGGCCATCGAATACTATGAAACACCTAAATTAAATCTTTTGTCTTTAAAAACATCACATATAGGGTTTTAAAAGATATAAGATTATGACTGAAATAAGATATATTCAAATTTAAACATACATACGAAACAACTGCAAACATAAATATTACCTGCTGCAGCGAATGCAATGGAAATTACAGTAACAAAAAAAGCAATAGAAAGCACACTCTCTTTATATTATATGAAAAATCGTTAAACAAATAAATATGTAAACACAAAACGTTTACCACTGCATAATTTTAAAAGTTAACAGAGGATTCCAGTATTAATCATACAAACACACTTGTTTTGCACTTCGAATATGCATTTTCTGCTTGTTGGCCAAAAAAAAAACCAATAGAAACCATGGCTAAGCAAAAAAAATAGGGGGGGGAGTTAATTTGGAAAAACTGTGTTCAGAAATTAAATTGTAATTTATACAAGTATTACCCTTTTTTTTCACTAACTTTACTTCTTCAAACCGATAGCAGAAAATTTAGTGAATAGAATATACATTCTAGAACTTGTAGCAGCATTGTAGTGGCTCAGTTATTGTATGAGAAATAATTATTTTTTATTTCATATATTTGCTCATGTGTTTAATTATTTTATAAAATTATCTTTAATATTTTGTTAATATTCATATTTATATTTAAATATCTTTATGCTGAATGGCAACTAGTGCTGATTCATGATTACTAGGTTTTGGTTTCAAAACGTTGCTCCTAGCGTCGCATTTCGATAGCTGGGAAATAAAATGCAATAAACTTAGCTATTTGTTTATAATTCATGCTGTTCCTAATCATAAATTAATTTTAAACATTAGTAGCCAAGGCTACATCGTGGTGACCCTGATTAATTTTCGAAATGTCAACAAATAACTTTTGAATCTGCTACGAAAGATATGATGCAATCACCAGAGCTTCATGAGGTGAGTGTAAAAATACCTCCTTTTTGGACTGATAAACCGGAAATATGGTTTTTTCAAGTTGAAGCTCAGTTCAAAATTAGTAATATCGTTTCAGAAGAAACGAAATTTAATTATTTAGTTTCACAGCCTGAACCTAAGTTCGTCGAAAATATTTGAGTGGAACATTGTATACGAACGATAGTGCCACATAATATTCGGATGCTAAAATTAGGTTATTACATTTATTCAAAGAAAGTGAAAATGTACGGATTAAACGTTTGATTACTGGTATCGAACTTGGAGACATGAAACCAAGCCAACTTTTGCAGAAGTTGAGATCAGTTGCTACTACAGTTTATGGCTGGAGAAGCTACCTGACTCAATACAAAATATATTATTAGTTAGTGATGAAGATGTAACCAGGTTAGCGTCTATGGCAGATAAAATTAGTGATATGAATCGGAAACCAGAAGTATTTAGTGCTAATGGTCCTTCCGTTCCCGCAAATGATTTGTTGCAAAGAACCTCTCTTGAACAAAAAATTCCGAGGTGAGACAGCGTTCGAGATAGACGTCTTATCGCTTCGCTCTCCGTTTCTATCGTTGCTGCCATCCCCGCTACTGTACCGAATTCATCGACCTCGCCTCACGGGCTCTGGGTTGTTTTTTTCTTTGGCTTTCGCCTCGCAGAAGCGTCGCCTTAACTCCACTGCTGCATCCTTCGCTGGATAAAACAGGTCGTGTTTTATTCTTTCTTCTGATTCTCTATATTCACCGTGCTGATAAGGGTACCTTCGGGCACGGCCTCTAGTTAGGCCTTTTTTCCAACCTATTTGCCTCACATGATTAATCAATATGACACAACAAACATAAATGTAACTAATAATAAAACAGACATGGAAAATCCTCACATGAGACATCTCAATGATGAACCCAATGTTCTCCAAATATTAAGTCACAAAATTACTTTACCAATGACGTTGAAACTACCAGATCCTTGGTAAAGATATCCAAGATATCCGTAACGACCCAAATGTGATTATGTCCGCTAGTGATCAAAAAGAAGTAAACTTTCTCCTTGTAAAAGCCATTAATCAACTGCGTACGCAGGAAAATGAGATGGCCAATGCAAAAATAAACGAATTACAAACCTCTAACGAAAAGCTCGCTAAACAATTTGAAGAGATTAAAAACTTCTGCGACATACTTCAATCCACTAGTGGTTTCAAAGAACAAAGAAAAAGAAAATTGCGCCATAGACAAACGGATTCTGACTCCGATGAGGAGCCTTCCCTCAAAACATGCAGTTGATATAAACAATTAGAGAACCAAATAGACGACATGCATTTGGACAACGAAGACGAGTCAGCCACTCAGCTCACTACCACCCCAAAAGACCAACCAAATAAAAGTGACACCATTCCTGCAAATAGAAAACCAAACTCCAGCCCCAAAACAAGCAGAATTGATAAAGTGCCAATTATTGTCGTAGATGACGTACGAAAAGCGGATGAATTCTTAAAAACCTTAAACAAGCAAACCGGAAAGGAGATAACTGGCACCTTAAAAGGGTGCCGCCTTGAAATACAGCCTGCAGACTCTGACTCACATCGATTCATTCGCAAAATAGTTGAAGAAACAAAGCTTAAAGCCCACACCTACTTATTGCCCGAAGATAAAGTTTTAAAAATCATAATAAGAGGCTTACCCATCACCACAGATCCCCAAACCATCACTCAAGAACTTCTTGACAAAGGATTCAAGGTTAACTTTATTACACTATTAAGAAACAGAAAAGAAAATAAACCAATGCCGCTTTTCTTAGTACATATACGAAAATCAGAAGAAAATAAGGAAGTATTCAAAATCAAACGCATAAGTTATATGAACGTAACAATAGAATCATTACGCAAGAAACCTGGCCCTCCACAATGCTATAGATGCCAGGGATTTTTTCACAGTTCCCTGCTCTGCACCAGAGACTGGGTATGCGTCCGTTGCGGAGGTTATCATAAACCTATAGAATGCACCCGTAGTCGCGACCAGCCAGCCATATGTTATCACTGCAAAGGTCCTCACCCAGCCAAAAATAAAATTGCCCGGCCAGACCAAAAACAAACAAGTTCAGTTCCAACCCAGTCCTCCACCAGCAACCAATCCCTGGACTAACAGAAGACAAGACTTTCCTCCGCTGACATCAAGCAGTAACGAAAATCTCGCTCAAACCTCCATTCAAAACGAAAATCTAACAGAAGAAACTACCAGCACCGCAGAATCCTCCCTGTCAGACCTCTTTGACTTCTCTTCGTTAAAAACAATCTGGACAATAGTAATACAAGGACTCAAAAACATTAAAACTAAGAAATCACCTCTTGATAAAATAATCGCAGTAGTCGAAATCATTGAAAAAATAGGAAATCATCTTTAATTCTAATAAATTCAAGAATAGATGCAACATAAAAATCCTCTCTTGGAACGCAAACGGTCTTTACCATAAAAAAGATGAATTATCCAACCTCATTATTGAAATTGAACCTGACGTAATACTCATACAAGAGACTCACCTTAAACCAGCACTCAAAGTACTTTATGCTAATTATAACACCTACCGTACGGATCGTGAGACAGGAAGAGGCGGTGGCATCATCACATTTGTTAAAAGGAGCATAAAACACTCTCAAATTCCTAATCCCAGCACCACTTTCGAAAGTAACACAATAGAAATTGTAAAAGAACATAAAAAATTCAAAATTTCGAATATATACATCCCACCAAATAATAATTACAGTGCACAACAATTGTTTCACCTCCTTAATTCTAATACTTCTACCATTGTCGGAGGGGACTTCAACGCCAAACACCCTTGCTGGAACCGAGGACCTGCTAACAAAAAAGGAAATGACATATTTAAACTCATTCAATCAAATAATTATAACATTCATGCTCCAGATGAGCCCACCCATTACGAGTACAATAGCGCCACTACAATTGACTTCTTCATCTCAAATAACATTACTAACAGATGCATGCAATATCTCTGTAATTTCAGCCCTGTCTTCCGAACACAACCCCATTGTATTTGAAATCCCCATTACTAAATACCTCCCCTCACTTGACAGAAGTATAGGAGTTACAAATTGGATCAAATACTCTGAAATTCTGAATAACTCCATACAAGGTAACCCATGCATCAACAACAAAGAAGATTTAGAACACGAAGTCTCAAAATTTACCAACAGCATCAATTCTGCTTTAAAGGAAGCCACCAATACGTTTTATGTGAACAAGCCTTTCCCCCCCTGCCTCCCGATATAAGAAATAGTATTAAAGAGAAAAACCGGATCCGCAAAAGATGGCAAACCACCAGGGATCCACAACTCAAACACGAACTAAACTCTATGCAAAAAGAAACCAACAGAAGAATCAAGAAGTTCAAAAACCAAAAATGGACCAATTTCCTAAATAACCTAGCTATAGAGGACAATTCCCTATTTGACATTTCCCGCAAATTCAAGAAACCTTATAAACCTATTCCACCTATCCATGGACCTAGTGGAATTTCATATACAGAAGAAGATAAAGCTAAATCCTTTGCGGACTATATGGAAGATACATTCACTCTTAATCCCACTCCGTACGACAATAACCATATTGAACGGGTCAACCATGTGGTCAATAACTTTCTTAATACCCCTGTTCCTTACAACTTCACTTTCCTGACTACCCCAACAATCATTGCCAACACCATCAGCGCCTTACAAACGAAGAAAGCCCCAGGGTACGATGGCATCTCGACCAAAGCACTGAAGCATCTTCCGATCAACGCTCTTACCTGCCTAACTAAGATAATCAACAACATTATCAAATTCGCTCATTTTCCTAACGCATGGAAGCAAGCTATAATAATTGTTTTTGCTAAACCGCAACAAAACCCAACTCTACCACAGAACTATCGCCCTATCACTTTACTTAGCCATCTGTCTAAAGTTACTGAGAAAATCCTACTTTTCCACATCCAAAAAATTCAGCCTTCCATGAATTTTCTCCCAGAAGAACAATTCGGTTTTCGTAATCATCATAGCACTTGCCACCAACTTCTTAGAGTTATCAACATTATCACTGAAGGCTACAACTGCAAGCTTCCGACCGATGCTATATTACTCGATATCGCGAAAGCTTTTTACAGAGTATGGCATCGAAGCCTTATTTACAAACTAATCACTCTCAATTTTCCAGATCATTTTATTCGCTTAATAGCCTCTTTTCTCAGCAATAGAACATTCAGAATCAAAATCGGTACTGCTTACTCTACCACCAGAGTAATCAATGCTGGTGGCCCACAGGGGTCGGCACTTTCGCCGTACCTTTTTAATATTTATACACAAGACATCCCTAAAGACCCTTCTG